GCTGTTCCTCAGGCTTCTCCTCTCACTATTCCATCGTCACTTCTTATAAGAAATCATGCCCCAAATGCTCCTCATCCCCCTCTCACTTTTTTTTTTTTTTAGCCCAAGGGGAAATTGAGTCTTTTTGCTGGCTGCCTTAGTGACAGCACCACCTGCACAAAGCACTTTTGTACCTCTTATTTTTGTCCTTCTAATGTCCCAACAATCCTGTAATGTGGGCATTAGTACCACTTTGTAGAAGACGAAAGTGGGACTTAGAGAGTTGAGGTCATTTGTTGAAGATCTCACAGAGAGTACAGGAAGGGCTCTGGGAGTAAAGTCAAGGTCAGTGTGACTTCTCCACCCTGCAAGATCACCTGATGAATTCAGTGGAGAGCATCTTTGATTACATCTTCATTTCAAAGGAGTTTGGACATGGTTTATAAAAGATTTTATAATACAAAGAGGGTTTAAAATTATGGATGAGAAAAACAGGGCCAAGGGATGAGGAAACAATACTTTTGCATTTTAATTGTCATTGGTTCAAACTTGAGCTTTTGAATAAGGTGAGACTCTGGGTTGATGAGAAGGAATGAAATAATCCTTTTAAGCCACCGACTCCAGTTGGAGCTCCAGGCATCGCACTGGGACCTACGCCGTTGCCTGGATAGAAAATGCTTCTTGATTTCAGCTGCAGGCTGCTGCTGCAATAAGCCGAGCGAATGATGAAGAGCGCTCCAAGCCAAGCCAGTGGAAGCTTCCAAGTTCATATTTCTTGCAAGAACAGGCCTTCAGCCACTTTCAAAGAACATTAGTCATAGAGACCAGCTTAGAACTGCGTTGAGGATGACTTGCTTACTCTGAATTACATCCAACTGCAGAAATTTGTTACAGATGGTTGTTGGCACTTAGAGAGAAATACCCGGTCTCTATCAATAATCAGTCATGCTCTGGCACAGGAGAAGCAGCACTGAGTGGGGCATTATCTGACCACGTTCTAGTCCCAGCCCCATCATCCCTGGGTGTGTGACATCTTCTCAGGATCAGTTTCTCTTAACATGTATCTAAGGACCACTTCAGGAGGACCCTGGGTTGGGGGTTGGAGGAAGACTCTGGGTCCTGCCCCAGAATATTGAGTGCTCCTGGTGCTGTGGGAGCCAAGTTCCTTGGTTAGCTCTGCTTATGTCAGGCCGATTTCTCGTCATCCCCAAACGTTTACTGAGTACCTGTTATCTATAGGGCACAGTTTGGGATATTGTAGAACTTTCTAGACATCATCCCTCCATTTTAGACTCTGGAAAATTTCAGACAGTCCAGGTCACCTCTCAAAACCCTGGCAGGTGCCCATTTGCTTCTATCAAGGTCTGACTCAGGATCCGCAGGACAGAGTGTGTCTGGGAAGGTTAGGCTCTCCTTGCAGTCTGTTTTTACTTTCCATGTTGGGCAGATGTGGACCTGATCTGCTAGCTGTGTGCTGTGGGCAGCATTGCCCATTTGCTTCCTGTTTATGAGAGAAAAGCCCATCTTTGATTTTCCCAGGTGGGCCACTGAGATCACCTGAATGCTCTGAAACTGTCCCTGACTTCTTGCTCAGGTGCCCTGGAATTAGGGAGCGACATAGCTCAAAGCCTCCTGCAGGGCACCACAGCCTCTCTGAGGTCTCTTGTTCTTATTTGAAAAGTTCATGTGAACTTTCTATTCTACTCAGTAATGTCCCTGTGATTGTCTGAATCGAAGCTTTTCATTCCCAGGAGGCTGCCTGACCTCCTGGCTCCCAAGACAGATCTGTGCAGGGTCAAGGCGAGCAGCATGCAGGCCGTCCAGTCTATACAGTGCAGCTCTAGGAGGCTGTATGTCAGGACCTCTCACCTGTTCAGATTTAATTACCTGCAGTAAGAGAGCATTCAAGTCTGTCTACATATTTATTTAGATTCTTGCTTTAGTCTAGAAAGGATTAGAGGTGGCAGTGATGGGTAGTTCCAAAATTAACCTGTATTTAATGGACAAGAGAAAGTGGAATAAGCCTGTATCTGTAGTCGTAACAATATTTATGAGAAATTTTAAAAAGCTAGAGGCTGAGCATGGTGACATGCCTATAATGCCAGCACTTTGGGAGGTGAAGGTAGGTGGATCACTTGAGCTCAGGAGTTTGAGACTAGACTGAACAACATGGAGAAATCCTGTCTCTACAAAAAATACAAAAATTAGCCAGGCGTGGTGGTGAATGCCTGTAGTCCCAGCTACTTGGGAGGCTGAGGTGGGAAGATCGCTTGAGCCCGGGAGGTGGACATTGCAGTGAGCCAGGATCACGTCACTGCACTCCAGCAGAAGTGACAGAGACCGAGAGTGACAGAGCCAGACCCTGTCTCGGAAAATAAAGACAAAATGTTTAAAAACATTAAAAAGATAAAGGAGTCTCTTAGAAACCTCACTTCCTTTCAACCCCCTCAGATCTTGCTTGGAGATAGGGCCATTGCATTTTAAAACCCACCTCTGAGACCCATGTCTTTCTTGGAATGACGGAGCTGGGCCCAATGAGGAGAGAACCCCCAGCCCACCAGGCCTGCTATAGCAAAATTATGCCCCACAGTCTTGTCCGAATAAGCAGCAGTCAAGATAGAGGATTGCATCAAGTAAACTCCCATCCTGTCTGTTGGACAATGCTGTCCCAAGAGGGCTGACCAGGCTGGTGTTAAACTGCGACCAACTAGGAGTTGAGGATGCTTTGGGTCGTTAGACCCCTCCCTGTTGCAGAGTTCCGGTGGGTGCTCCAGTGCCTAAGTACAGGCAGGTTGTGGCGCACGTTGACCTTCTGTGCCCGTCATGATCTAATATAGCTCTTTTGTGGGCGTCTTGCTTAATTTGGCTGAAACATTTATTTCTCCTCTGAATGGGCTTCCTTGTTTCACACAGAAAGTTGGCCCACGTGGGGTGCTACTGACAGGCAGTAGCAGGGGTTCTAGTGGGCTACCGTGTTGACTTCGTGATACTCCTTTGCCTGCAGTTTTAGGCATCCCTCTGTCAAACTGTCAACCGGTGGTGAATATCATAAGATTTTCTCTTTAGAATAACCTGTGTACATGTCCCAGGCATTTCTGTAACTCAGTTCAAACCAGTGACAAGGTGGCTTTCCCATTCATGTTAGCTACCCTGCTAGGGACCATTCTCCACAGTTTCTGTGAGCCCAGGGTTGGCTTCACTCTCAGGAAACAAGATCCCCAGTGGGTGTCTGGAATTACCAAGGTGATTTAGTGATAGGGACTTTTGAAAGAACTAACTCCAAGCATAAAACTCAGTTTGTGTTCGGTCAGAAACCTAACCCACCCTGTACCTCTCTGGGTGTATCACTCACCACCAGGCTTTGGGGACCTTTCAGGAGGCTATGTTCTTGCAGGGACAGGAGCGTGTGTGTGTGTGTGTGTGTGTGTGTGTGTGTGTGTGTGTGTGTGTCAAACCCTGGTGTGTCAGGCACATGTGCAGAGAGATTTACATCAGGAGACCTCAGATGATGAAATCCTAAACTCGAGCAGAAGCGATCGCATCAGATAGTAGAAAATCTCATCCAAATGCCTTTACAGTCTGTTTGAGGTTTTTGATATCAAGACAACCAGAGATTTGCTATGAGTGATAGCACTAATAATGACACTAATATTCTGGAGTCTCAAGATCCTCCCCTCCCTCTATAAAACTCTTGCTCTGATGTCCATTTGTGGGGTCACCTCTCTCCGTCTTGTAGCCCACAAGAGGACTGGGAAGCATTGACAGCAGTCCCCAGCTGCCACCCGCTGTCTCTGACTCATATGCTGTCTGTGGGAGGGTGGAGAGTATCATCAGCAGGTTGCCGGGCAGATAGTGGGAAATGTCTGCTTCGTGGCTGATGTGTGAGTGTGGGAACGTGTGCTCCTGGACAAGAGTGATAACATTGCTCATTCTGAGGCGGGTAGCATGGAAATGTGTCTTCACTTGGTTTTTTGGGTTTCTGGCTTTTTCTCTCTCTTTTTTAGACATAGCTACTGAAAGCCCAGGAAGTAGGACTTGTGGGCATATCAGTGAGTTAGAAGCCCCATCAGTGTCCTGTATCTTTAGCTCTTCAATCCAACAAGCGTGCGATTATTGTGTTATGCATATGCCTTCTGCAGGATTATTTATTGGCATTGCTGATTCTAGGCAGTTTCTTTTAGCAGTTTGATGGGCCCATATTAGTTTCCAGGAATTGTCATCACTGAGTATCGTCATCTGGGTGGCTTAAACAACAGAAATTCATTTCTTCAGTTCTGGAGGCTGGAAGCTGGGGTATCAAGGTGTGGGCAGGGCTGGTTCCTTCTAGCGCGGTGAGAGAGTCTGTTCCAGGCCTGTGCTGGCTTCTGCTGCCTACTGGCAGTCTTTGACGCACCCTGGCCTGAGGATGCATCAACTCATCTCTGCTTTCATGTTCAGTGGGGTTCTGCCTGTGTGCATGCCTGTCTCTGAATTTTTCCTTTATACAGGTAGGAACACCAGTCGTACTGGATTAGGGTTCATCTTGATGACTTCATCCTGACTAATGACATCTGCAACAACTCTGTTTCCAAATAAGGTCACATTCACAGGAGGTGAGGACTGTGGCATCTTTTGGGGAGACACAATTCAACCCATAATGAAGGCAAAGGGGGTTTTCTGTTCCCTTTATGTGAGAGGCCATGTGATCACACGTTATGGAGGCTGATGGCCTGGGATTGACAGCTGCCACTTACTAGCTGTGTGTCTTCAGGCAACTTGCCTGTCTTGTTTCCATATCAGTAAAAGGGACAAATTTTAAAATATGGTTGACAAGTTATAATTTAATACATATAAAGTTCTTTAAAGAATACTTGGCATATTGTAGTTTTCACTAAATCTAAGTTGCTTCTCTCACTACTGCTAGTATCTCAATTTTACTGGCTTGTTTAAAGTTATGGGAATGTAGTGTTATTGAGGATGCTTTAAAGAGGGTGAATTAAAAGGAATAAGGACATTACCACCTGGATTTTTAGATTTATATATCTTCAAATGACTTGGTAATTGTTCCCTCTAGGAAATCTGCAAGTATTCATTGTGTTTTGAATACTGAAAAGAAATTATCTTCGAAACCACATTTATTCATTTATTAAACATTTATTCAAGCCTCACTATGCAGGAAGTACTTCTCTAGGTAGTGCGGTGCGTACAAAAGTGACTGTGATAGTGTCTCTGGGTTTTAAGGAGCTCTCAGCTCAGTGAGAGGCAGAGACAGCAAGTGATGTAGTCATAGAAGGTAACAGGCATTCTTCAAAATGCTGCACCTGGATCCACCTGGATCCACCTGGAAGCAGGATGTAATTTTCCAAAGAAGCCAATGAGATAGAGGCAGTCCCTTATCTTCAATTCTGAATTTAAAAAACAAAACAAAATGAACCTCTGAAAATTGAATTCTTTCTTTGATAGGTTGGTGCAAACTCACTTGCTTACAAAACCTGGGCTGAACTGATGCGAGGCAGTAGTTTTATCTTCTTTTCTAGCATGTGAATGTTCACAACGTTTGCTGAAAACACCAGGGATGATGCGTAACATCCAGTTAATGTGTCACCAGATTCCCTTTCACACCTGGCCCCGGAATCCCAGGAAAAGCGATGGTGGGCCTGTCTAACTGGATGTTTTACAATGAATGAACACGAAGCTTCAGAGGAGCTAGACGGTGTGCTCCAGCCCCAAAGCTTGGGAGAGGCGCGATCGTCTCTTTACTCTCCTTTCATCTGGAACGTTTCCGCCAGCTTTATTTGCCATAAAGAGTAAAGAAGTGAAGTCTGCATGCTTGGCTCAGCCCATCCTAATGGTAAACGTTAGGCCTGTTTTGCCTTTAAGTTGCAGAAGCCTGCTTGAGGAATGGACAAAAGCGGGCAGGGTGAGCAAGGTATGATTAGGATATGGGGTGTTCTGGTTGGAAAGTAAAATTTGTATTCTCGCAAAATTTGCATGTTGCCGTGAGGACACAGCGAGAAGGCACCTTCTAAAACAGGAAGGGAGTGAGCCCTCACCAGACGCCCAATCTGCGGGCACCTTGCTCTTAGCCTTCCCAACTCCAGAACTCTCAACAGCCTGCTGTTCACAAGCCACCCAGTTTACAGCATTTTGTGATAACTGCCAGGAAGGACCGTTATTAGTCCATCCATTAGTGTGAAACACTTCAAGTATGCAGTTCCCAAGAACTGGGATGTTTACTTAGATAACCACAGGAGAACGATCAACTTTAGTGATGTTTAACATTGACACAATGCTTTTATCCAATCCACCAACCATATGCCAGCGTCTCCAGTGGACCCACTATAGCATCTTCCCCATCTCAACAGGATCCAGTCTAGGGTCAGGCATTGTATTTGGTTGAACCTCATGGAGCCCCAGACAGAGCCGTGGCTTAGCCTCAGGAAGGATCAGAATCCGGGACATAGGGAACTCAGGAGTTTTTTTCCTTTGCCTCCCACTTGAGTGTCTTCCTTTGATCATTCACTTTTTCTGCTTCCCAGTCCATGCATTAGAAAATAGCTGCTACCTGCCGAAGCTTTTTATCTCCTCAATTAAGGATAGTGCTGAGCTGAACTGGAGTCTTTTAAATCCAATCCAAATTGCCACGTGTCTGCTTCCCTTTTGCATGACGATGGAAAATTGTGGTGGTGAGTGGGGGTCTCATCAAAGGAAACATGACACAGACCACACACGTGAATGCAGTGGAAGCCCTCCTTCCAGTGGTGCGTTTGCCCCAGGATCATTTGTTTGCCGACCTTAACCTGGCCTCCAGCGTGTCTTGGTAGTGAGCATTCCCAACCCTGGTTCTTACCGCTCAGGCTGCCACCTTCTGCAATTGCTGACTTGCCCTCCTGTCCCCTGAGATGACGGTGTACCCCGTTTGCCTGGGGCCAAGGCAAGCTGCTTGGCCTTTGGCTGCCCATCTCCCCTAAGCTACTGGTTTCAAACTGATGGACCCTTAGGGTACACACACCACCACCTGCCCAAGAGCTACTTGGAGGGCTTTGCTGATGAGGTCTCAGGACACCTCAAGGTGACCCAGTGTTGATCAGCACGGACTGGCCCTGAGCCTGTGTTCTCTACAACCTTGTGCATTGTGATTGAACTGCTGGCGATGCCCCCCTGACCTCACCAAACCTGGTTGCACAGCCAGGCCACTACCTGGGCTCCAGCCTCTGTGTTGCTCATCTGTTTTCTTCCTCTCAGCCCTGTGGGTCACAGATGAGGGCTGTGGATAGATGCCTTGTCAACATCAAAGCCCTTCCCATGTTTGGGGCCAGGAGAGTCTGGCAGAAAAGGAAGGTTTTCAAAGCTGGACTTAGTCTGGGCAAGTCACTAAACCTCACCACAGCTCTCATTCCTCATCTGTATCTTGAGGGGAATGAACCAAATGTTCTTTCAGGACCCTGTGACTCTAAGAATTTCCGTGATGTCACTAAAAACTCCGGCAGGAGTTGCCCAGAGTGTGCAAAGAATGAGCACCATTGCATCACGTGGGACCAGCCCAGAGGAAAGGGCTACTCTAAGGTCAAGGCATGGTAGGAAACCTTAACAAGGACAACCAACCACAAAGCACTTGAGGCCTGGGATTTACACGCCTTACAGAGTCTTGGTTTATTCATTGTGCAGGCACTAGACTGCTATCCTTAGAAGGGCCTGCTTGCAAAGTTGACCCTTGGCTGGTGTCTGGCAACTTAACCGGTAAACAGTTTCCTTCGCCCATACACAGTTTTCCCAAATGATAAGGTGGGCTTGCCGTGCTGAAGCTGTTTGTGCAAACAGTATGATTTATACTGAACACTTGCTTTCCATCTGGAATTTTGAGACAGGGTAGGCAGAGGCTGCCTACGTCAGCAGCCCCACCATAAGATCCCTGGGGGATGAGTTTCTACTGAGCTTCCCTGGTTGACAACACTTCACACTGTGGCCACTGCTGTTTGCTGGGGGAGTTAAGCACATCCGGTGTGACTTCACTGGAAGAGGACTCTTGGGAGCCTATACCTGGTGTGCTCTGGCCTTCATCCCAGGTACTTCTCCTTGCTGTTTGTGCTTCATCCTCTTTCACTGTCATAAATCTTAGCCATAGGGACAGCTGTATGCTGAGTCCTGCTACCAAATCACCTCTTACCAAACCTGGGGGTGATGCTGGAGACCCCAGACACACTCGCAGATTTCTAAAGCGACTAAGCAAGTGAAGATAAGCCCCCTTCCTGTGCAATTCCCCCATGCTAATTCATGCTGTAGAGGATTGGGCCCCTCTGCCTGTGCTAAGAGGAGCTTTAGCTTAGTTAAAATCTGCGACTGTGGCATCATGCTTACTTGTGTCCCCCTTGGTCCAACCTAGAATCCAAATGTTGTGCTGTCCATTGGGAGGCCTGATCATTCATGGTCCAGGAGTAAAAAATCACAGAGATCTTGGCCTGGCTTGACATTCTGGAATATGGAGGAAATTCTCAGGAACGGAATTTGGCTGGTGCGGCTTCTCACCTGGGCGGCTCTGGCAGTGTGCTTCAGAAAGAGCAGCAGCAGCATTCCTTAACTGAATGATGTTGACAGTTCTCCAGAACCAAGTCAGGAAAGCCAGCTGGTCTTATAGAAGTCGGGAAAAATTACTGCTGGGGGAAATATTATTTGAGAAGAAATATAATGTCTTAACCTTAGTGTATTCGTATGTTTTCATATGCTGCTGATAAAGACGTTAAAGACATAATCCAAGACTGGGTAATTTACAAAGAAAAAGAGATTTAATGGACTCACAGTTTCACGTGGCTGGGGAGGCCTCATAATCATGGCAGAAGGCAAAAAGCATGTCTTACATGGTGGCAGGCGAGAGAGAATGAGAGCCAAACAAAAGGAGAAATCTCTTATAAAACCATCAGATGTCATGAGGCTTATTCACTACCATGAGAGCAATATGGGGGAAACTGCCCCCAGGACTCAATTATCTCTGACTGGGTCCCTCCTACAACACGTGGGAATTATGGGAGCTACCATTCAAGATCAGATTCAGGTGGGGACACAGCCAAACCATGTCACAGCATACTTAGACTGTTTCCGTGAGCTTTGAATAGAAACCACATAACTTTACCTGAATGCTTTAGGTACCCATAAAGTTCTGTTCTGTGAAGGTAGAGTTTTTGCACCCTTCATGGCAAGAACTGTGGGTGTGTAACTAAGGAGAGGAGAGTGCACGCTGTCACGCTTGGCTGTTGTGTCGTTTATGGACCATGAGAACGCAACAAAGCTGTTACTTTTCTTTAAGACAGGGTCTTCCTCTGTCACCCAGGCTGGAGTACACTGGCACAGTCATAGCTCACTGCAGCTCCAACCTCCTGGGCTTAAAAAATCCTACCTCAGCCTCCCAAGTAGCTGGGATTGTAGGCATGTGCCACTATGCCTGGCTAATTTTAAAAAAATTTTTTTTGTAGAGATGGTGTCTCACTATGTTGCCCAGGCTGGTCTCAAACTCCTAGTTTCAAGGGATCCTCTGCCTCAGCCTCCCAAAGTGCTGGGATTACAGGCACCAAATCAGTTTTTGGTTTTTTGAGCAGCCTTTCTTCTTCTTGCAGTTGTTCTGGATTGCCCAAGAGGCTCTCCAAGGGAAGAGGAGGTCACTCCACCCCTCTGTATTCCAGCATTAAAATTAGCTCCTGTTTAGAGAGGCTTTTGGCTCTAGCTCTGTTTTCAGAGCTAGGGCTAAAAGTCAGCAGCTTTTTTTTTTTTTTCCCCAGATGGAGTTTTTGTTCTTGTTGCCCAGGCTGGAGTGCAAAGGCACGATCTTGGCTCACCCCAACCTCTGCCTCCCAAGTTCAAACTATTCTCCAGCCTCAGCCTCCTAAGTAGCTGGGACTACAGGCATGTGCCACCACACCCAGCTAATGTTGTATTTTTAGTAGAGTCGGGGTTTTTCCATGTTGGTCAGGGTGGTCTCGAACTCCCAACCTCAGGTGATCCACCCACCTTGGCCTCCCAAAAGGCTGGGCTTACAGGCATTAGCCACCGTGCCTGTCCAGTCAGCAGCTTTTAAAACAGAGCATCTCAGGAGGTCCAGCCAGATCTCTGTCCAGCAGGTTACTAGAAGCATGACCCTCAGAGGCTGTTTCGGGAAAGTTTGTAAATTCCATGGCGGTTTAATGGTATGAGACACTGACTTTAGCTATATGCTCAGGAACTGCTGCAAACAGCATGCAGGGAGTAGGCAGATATTGTGCCCCTCTTGACACTTAGGAGGAAGATGGAGTGTTGCAATGGCATTTGGAAACTTTCGTTTTCTTTTCAAAATTGTTCACCAGATCCTTATCAGATGGAAGACTAATAAGAGCATGAACAGTGAAGGGGACCTGAGGCTTACCCTTTCCTTGAGGCTAAAACAAGCAAAGGAAACCATTAGCCAGCCACTTTTATCAAGCACTTCCTTTGTGCAGAGAACTCACTGTGCTGTATGCCTTATGGGGTGGAGGATAAACAGTTGGGAGGAGGGGCTCCCTTCCACTGCGTCCCTCGGGCTGTATGAGAGGGCAACCCCGAAGCCCTCACCATCACTTGCAAGAAATGACCGATTGGCATTTGCAAAACAAAAGATAAATGAACATGTACATTGGCATTCCGTGTATAGTCAGGCGTGGCCAACTAGAGAAGTTGCTAAGAATGAGGTTTTTGAAGGAACTGTTGAAGCCAGACCTTTATTCAGCATCATCTTGTTCCCTGCTACGTCAGCGTGCTCCGCTCCTTTCTTCCCTGCCTCTGTTCGGAGCACCACGAGTGCCCCCTCCATCCCCCAACCCAGGATCACACCAGACACTTGGAGGCCATGCTAAATGTCCACCTCCCACCTCCCTCCAAATCCACCCCAGATTCTACCCCCTCCATTCTCTCTATCGTGGTCATAATGCCCAAGGCTTCCAGTGATTGTGTCACCCTCAGGACAGAGTTCCAGCCCTCCTCAGCCCTCTGTGCCTATTTCATCTTTACCCCCTACCCTCAAATGTTTGTGGCCTTTATACCTCTGTTCCCTCTGCTTTCTTGATTGGAATGCCTTTTCCCTAATGACCCTGACTGGAAAACTCCTACACACTCTTTGTTTTTTTTTTTTTTTGAGATAGAGTGTTGCTCTGTCACCCAGGCTAGAGTGCAGTTACGTGATCTCAGATCTCTGCAACCTCCGTCTCCCAGGTACAAATTATTCCCCTGCCTCAGCCTCCAGAGTAGCTGAGATTACAGGCACCCACCACCATGCCTGGTTAGTTTTTTTGTATTTTTAGTAGAGACAGGGTTTCACCATGTTGGCCATGCTGGTCTCAAACTCCCAAATTTCAAGTGATCTGCCTGTCTCGGCCTCCCAAAGTGCTGGGATTACAGGTGTGGGCCACTACACCCAGCCTCAGAGTATCTTAAGTTAATACCTTATATTAAGTTAATATCTTAATATCGTAAAGGTGAAATGAGTTCACTAGGATGGGCCCTGACTCGCCATGTCGGGTGTTCTTATAAAAAGGGGAAATTTGGACACAGACACATGTAGAGAGAGAGTGCCGGCACCTGGCTTGTAGGCCGATGCATCTACCAGCCAAGGAATGCCAAAGATTGCCAGCTAACTACCGGGAGATAGGGCAGAGGCCTGGAGCAGATTTTCCTTTCCAACCTTAAGAAGCATCCAGCCCTGCCCACACCTTGATCTCAGATTTCAGCCCCCAGAGCTAAGACAATACCTGTTGTTTGAGCCACTTGCTTTGTGGTCCTTTGTTACAGCAGCCCTAGGACACTAATAAGCCTCCAACACCAGTCTTCTCTGATCTGTTGGGATGGTGGTGACATCAGTGGTTTGTTTACTTTAACATCTAGGAGAGCAGATAGGTTCCAAAAGCATCGCTTTCAGATGAGCCCGTTTTTGCCAATACTCTTGGAACTTAGAGCTGGATGGACTCAGAACTGGGGAGGCCATCTCTGCTTTGGACACCTAGAATTTGGACAGAGAAATGTCTGGTGGGGATGAAGGCTATGTGGCTGCCGGTTGGTAAAAGGAGAAAAGGCTCAAATATGTGCTTCTGGTCTCTGAAATCCCTTTCCACCATCAGCAGGACAGATGGGTGGGATCACATCAGCCCTTACCCTTTTCCTTGGGACCCCTGCTTTCCTGCAAGGCTCCCCTTGCTGTAGCTGGCAGCCACTTGGATACATGTACTTGGGGCAGTGAGTGTGGCCTACATATGTGATTGGCTGCCAGTGTCAGGGGTATGTTTGCTGGTGCTGCTTGATAAGCCACTTTGGGACTAGCAGGTGTCCAGAGTGGGCCTGGTGTAACCCTTGGTCATTGCTCAGACTCTCCTGGCTTCACCATGTCCTGTGTCTGAACCCCAGGCTCTTTCTAGGCTTTTCAGGAGGTGGATCCTCCCCATGCTGTGGCAATCTCCAACTTAGAGATCACAGCCACCAGTTGATACAATTAATGACCCCACTGGTCCCCAGGGTTCTAACACATACAGTTCTCTCTGTCTTGATGCTTTTACCCTCATTCTCCTGGGGCAGCCTGGACATGCTAGTTCTTAGGATTCAGTTTTGGGAGTTGGAAGTGAACAGACCTGTGTTTGGAGGCTTTAGAGGTGATTTGAAACAAATTCTACTTAATGAAGTGGCTATTTCCAAAGCCTGTCCCTGTCATGTTAGAATCCCCAGAGCTGCAGCTTTGTTAACTTTCAGTTCTTGGCCTCGTTATTGGGCTGAGAATGGGCTGTGCTTATTAGCACCGTGGACAGAATTGTTAATCCAGACTCTAGCATGGTGATTTTGAGATCCCTTCTCCCTCTGCTAGTCTATTTTTGACCCTGCCAGCATCATTTTTTCCTTTTGAAGTTGAACAGACATTCTTTAACCTTCCTTCTGCCACCCAGAGCACTCCTAATCAAGGTTAACACACTTAGCCCACTCTGTGGTGTGACGCTCTAGGAAAAGATCGGACCTACATTGTGGCATCCACCCGAGAGGTGTAGGACAGCCGAGGATGGACATCTGGACTGTGCAACCCAGCAGGACAAGGCTGTGTCACACGTGGCCTGAGGCTATTGATCTCTTAAAGATTAGACCTGCGTTTTATTTGGTTTGTGTGTCTACTAAGTGGCAGCAGTAAGGTTTCTTGGTTTAGAGTAAACTTCCTGATTCTGCAGAAATAAGAGAAAAAAAATCTTGCCTTTTTTTTTTGAAAGCAAGCCTGTTAGGAAGAACAGAGATGCCAGACACAGCTGTCTTTTCCTCCTGGTTCTTTGGCTGTGAGAATCTTCTTCCCACTTCAGGACCATACTCGGAGGGGACAGAAGCCAGGCATTGCCAAACGATGAGATCTGTTTGTCCTTGGCTCTGGAAAATGGGAAACAAGAGCTTGTTTTAATTCTGCGGCTATTCTGATAGGGAAACGATGGGATTGGATCTTGGTCTCTTCAGATCGAGGGCCCAGTACAAGCACAGAACATTATGACTGTGATCAGTAGGAGATTATAGCTATGGGCAGTCTCTAGAACTCATTTAGATGCATATTATTTCCTTAGTACTCAGATATGAATATAAGAAGTGGTGCTCAACAAGCATCAGGAAATCTGGCTCCCGATGAAGACAGGAGTTGGTGAACATCTGCAAGCTTGGAAGGCTGCCAGCCGACACCTTCACCGGAATGCAAACTCCTCCCTCCTCCCTGTTCAACCTCGGAGCCTGTGGCCAGCTGCTGAGCCCTCTTCCTTTGGTGTGTCGTCCTCACCAGTATATGCAGAGACTGGTGTGTTACTGACCAGAGTAATGTGGTGTTACTGCAAGACTGGTATTTGTATTCTCAATCGATTTCCTTTAGAAGGGGATTCATTTAATACTTAGAGGGGGGTTGATTTTTATGGTGGAGCTGGGAAAGTGAAAAGATACATATTTAATTTTTATGTTTTTAATTAACAACTAAAAATTGTGTATGTTGATCGTGTACAACGTGTTGTTTTGCAATATGTATAGGCTTACTTTGGAGAACCGTGGTTGCAGTTCCAGGCCACTGCGATAAAGCAAATATCACAATAAAGCAAGACACATACATTTTTATATTTCCCAGTGCCTGTAAAAGTTATGTTTACACTGTAATCTGTTAATGCAGTAGTATGATGTCTAAAAAACAAGGTACATACTTTCATTAAAATATCTTTTTATTTTTTAAGTTTCCAGTTACTTAGACATAAAATGTTCTATATTAAATAATTGAAGTTCGACCCGGCACCGTGGCTCACGCCTGTAATCTCAGCACTTTGGGAGGCCGAGGCGGGTGGATCACGAGGTCAAGAGATCGAGACCATCCTGGTCAACATGGTGAAACCCCGTCTCTACTAAAATATAAAAAAAATTAGCTGGGCATGGTGGTGTGTGCCTGTATTTCCAGCTACGCAGGAGGCTGAGGCAGGAGAATTGCCTGAACCCAGGAGGTGGAGGTTGCGGTGAGCCGAGATCACACCATTGCACTCCAGCCTGGGTAACGAGCGAAACTCCGTCTAAAAAAAAAAAAAAATTGAAGTTCAATTTCAACAAAAATATTGAACATAAATATAAAGCACTATCTTAGATATATTTTCATTAGAATAAAGAATTTTCCAGTTTTTTTTTTAACGCTAGGGAAATGTTCTCATTTTTTTTTTCTTTTAACCCTTATTATAGGTTCAGGGGTATATGTGCAGGTTTGTTAGATAGGCAAACTCATGTCACAGAGGTTCGTTGTACAGATTACTTTGTCATCCAGATGCTAAGCTTAGTACCGAATAGTTATTTTTTCTACTTCTTTCCCTCCTCCAACCTCCACCCTCAAGGAGGCCCCAGTGTCTGTTGTTACCTTCTTTGTGTCCATGAATTCTCATCATTTAGCTCCCACTTGTAAGTAAGAACATGTGGTATTTGTTTTTCTGTTCCTGTGGTAGTTTGCTAAGGATAATAGCCTCCAGCTCCATCCATATTTCTGTAAAATACATGATCTCATTCTTTTTTATGGCTGCATAGTATTCCATGGTGCTTATGAACCAAATTTTCTTTATCCAATCTGTCATTGATGGGCATTTAGATTGATTCCATGTCTTTGCTGTTGTGAATAGCGCTGCAGTGAACATTTGTGTGCATGTGTCTTTATGGTAGGATGATTTCTATTCCTCTGGGTATACCCAGTAATGGGATTCCTGGGTTCCAAATATAATTTGCTACAAAATGCTAATGATCTTCTGAGCCTTGAGCAAGTTGTAGTCTTTGCTGGTAGAGAGTCTTACCTCGATGTTGATGGCTTCTAACTGGTTAGGGTGCTGGTTGCCGAAGGTTAGGGTAGCTGTGGCAATTCCTTAAGATAAGACAACAATGACATTTGCCACATTGATTGATTTCCTTTCAAGAAAGATTGTTCAGTGTTATGTGATACTATTTGATAGCATTTTACCAACAATAGAATTTCTTTCAAAATTGGAGTCACTTCTTTCAAACCCTGCTGCTTCTTTGTCAACTAAGTTTATGTAATATTCTAAACCCTTTCTTGTCATTGAAATGATGTCTAGCACATCTTCACCAGGAATAGGTTCTATCTCAAGAAGCCACTTTTTTTGCTCATTCATAAGAAGCAGCCTCTCATCCATTCACACTTTATCCTGAGATTGCAGCAATTCAGTCACATCTTCAGGCTCCACTTCTAATTCTAGTTCCGTTGCTATTTCCACCACATCTGCAGTGACTTCCCCCATTGAAGTCTTTGATCCCTCAAATTCATTTATGGGGATTTGGATCAACTTCTTTTGAACCGTCAGTGTCGATATTTTGACCTCCTCCCCTGAATCACGAATGTTCTTAATGGCATCTAGAATGGGGAATTCTTTCCAGACAGTTTTCTATATTCAATATACTCTGAATGCAAAGTTACAGTTTCCAAGAACTTATTGATAAAGGGAGAACTTACTATACTTATTACCATTTATTTTTGCAGTGAGAACAGCTAAAAATCTAGTATATTACCAATTTTTAAGAAAAGATACTTTTTTTAACATGATGTATGAAATCAGAACTCTAGATTCAGTTATTTTCTCCTTTTTTATTGGGTAAGTGTTTATTTGTGTGATGCATAAGTTATGTGTGCTACATTTCATTTGAAAGAGATTTATCACTTGCAGTGATCTCAGATCTGTCATTTCATAGGGAGCTTTTCACCTGAAGCCCCACTTATTTAGGAAGAAGAACAGTCAGAGCCTGTAGGTGTGTGGTGGCAGTATGGATGTGGATGATGAAGAAGAGCAGAGGTCCATGCTGGACCTCACGCACCTTCAGAGCTGGAGGGAGGTCTCAGAATCCATAAATGAACTTGGGTCCGATATGGGCACAGCACTACCCTAGCTTCTGTAGGAAGGGCTGGGGAAGGAGATCTTACTATTAAATGCTTATTGTGCCAAATTATATCAATCCTAGTAAATGTGGACTGTGGGATGACTTCCTCATGATGATCTGCTGACTTTTAGGTTAGCAGATGAAGTAATCAGTGTAACAGGCCAAACCCTATTCTTTTTATTCCTGTCCATCTGAATACACAGCTAATTGCAGCCGTTCCTTCTGTCTGTGGGGAGGAACAGTAGGAGGAGGAGAACAGTGGAGAACGTACCCAGAGCAGGGCAGACACACACTAGGGAAACTGGCAAAGCTGAGGCTTTAAAAATAACAACATAAGCACTATTTTAAAGAAAAGTATTTAAAGAGCTCTGCATTTCTTGAAGTGAACCAGGAATGTTAGGGTAATAACCTAAGTACTGTTTACATTGAAAGCTGTTCTCGAATTTGATAGGAAACATATCTGGTTTTGATTTCTGAAAACATTTGTTAGCAAAATTGCTGCCAGGAGACCAAGCCAGTCCTGAAATGGGAGGAAGTCTGAACTCTTGGTTTTCCAGGGATGAGGAGAGCTGCCCAACGGTAGGGCTCTAAGAGCAGTCATCATAGATGGACTGATTACAGTCCAGGAGGTGTATGTGGTTCCCAAATAAAGAACTCATGTTGGGCATGCGCGGTGGCTCACACTTAAAATCCTAGCACTTTGGGAGGCCAAGGCGGGCGGATCACCTGAGATCAAGAGTTTGATACCAGCCTGGCCAATGTGGTAAAACCCCATCTCTACTAAAAATACAAAAATTATCTGGGTGTGGTGGTGGGTGCCTGTAATCCCAGCTACTCGGAAGGCTGAGGCAGGAGAATTGCTTGAACCCAGGAAGCAGGGGTTGCAGCAAACTGAGATCGCACCATTGTGCTCCAGCTTAGGTGACATAAGTGAAACTCCACCTCAACAAACAAACAAATAAAACAAAATTCAAAAAATCCTCATGTTAACTCTTAAATGGAAAGATCTGGCACTCTGTGGAAGAACTGGGCAGCCTGGAATACTAGGATTGGTCAAGCTTAGATTTCCCACAGCAATTACCATTGATTGCCGGCATCCAGTGTTCTGAATTTCAGTTTTAGGGCAGTATAGGGCAAGCAGTCAAGATCTCAGGTTCTGGGATTAGAGAGGTTGGGTTCAAATCCTGTCTCCTCTACTGACTTGCTTTTGTGCAGTGGTTCTTAGTCTTTACTGCACATTCGAATCATCCGTGCAGTTCTTGAAACTCTGGATGGCCAAGCTGTATCCTAGAGCAAGGGTGTAACAATCTCTAGGAGTGAATCATAGACATTGGTATTTTAACAGTATTCTCCCTTCTCATCCTGGGTAAACATGTTGAGAGCCACTATTTAAGTAAGACTTGAAAAGTTTTATAGCTCAATAGTAGGGTTTCATCATCTAGAAATTGGGAATAGTGTTATCTAACATACATGTTTCCCATGAAGATTAAAAGAGATAATACGTGCATGATGATCAGTCCACTACCAGGACATAGTAAATGCTCAATAAAGACAGCCTACATCCCTAACTCAACTTCTTGAACTCCTGGCCTCAAGCAATCCTTCTGTTTAAGACTTCCGAGTGGCTGGGTTTACAAGATGAGCTACTGTGCCCAGTGAGTTCAATTTCTCTACATGCAAAGAAAACTTCTGAAATGCAAATGTGATGGTTCCCACATCTGCTAAAAGGGAGGCACAGGAGTGCAATTCTTGCATTTATTTGACAGAGACAGTCAGATATTCTAAGCCTATGGTGTTGCAGAGAAGCATTGAGGGAAATGGCTGAGCATCAGAGCCTCTTCTGACAACCGGGCCACCTTCTCAGACCTGCAGGTACACCCATTCCACTTGCAATTACAGAAACGCACGATCTTCTTTCAATTTTCAATTGTTTGTTCCCAGATTCTCCTTCTTCTTATTATTGTGGTAAATTTTTTAAATGTGACTTTATTATAGTATTAGACAAGGGGCAGCCTTGAGAAAATTAAATGCGAGGCAAGTTTGGGTAATGTATCTCTAATCTTCTACCTACCACATCCAGACCAGTTAATTTTTTGAGTATCCTGATTGCAGAGATGAATGTTTTTAGCAGTCAGGAATGCAAACTGGCTTTCACTTCTGTGATTCTGTTATCATTCACTAGTATAAAATCATGTCTACTTATGGGATAGCAACTTCTGTCAATGTTTCATAAGCATCGATTATAAAATCCATTGTTCTGGATTGAAAATTCTGCTCTCAGAACATTACCAGCTAACACCTTCGCCTTAGTACCAGCTCCAATACAGATTCACTCATTCAGGGGTTTTTACTGGCATCTAGTAGTGCTAGGATTCTCACCACGGGCCTGGGGTATGGACTTCAGACCTCAGAAGGTCTGTGTTGAATCCTAGATCAGTA